ACAAGACATCCAGTTCTAACTTAGAACTGAAACACTTCCGGGAGGAAGTGCGACGAATCCGACATTTAGACCCAGAGATTGAGCTGATAAACACTTCAGACCATGCCAAGCCAAACCCAAGAGAGCTAGAATACAGATCGGGCCGTGTTCAACCTCCTCTCCGAAGTAAATGTTATCCGTTTTACTTTTGGGGCCTAGGCTACTACATGAAGGTGCACGGTTTTCGGCTGTGCATACAGTGAAGCAGTGAATCGTCATCATCACGTGGTGGGTCGCATGTTAATGTTGTCACGCCTCTCCGTAGACGATATGATCATTCCCCAAACCAGTTTAGGAACACTCTATCGAAATTAATAAAGTGATCACTGATACAAATTTTCATCTTGCAAGACTTTGTAAATCGCGATTCGTCATGGAGGAATAAAAATTACACTTTTAATTCCTGCAATCATATCGTGGTGTAATTCATGCATTTTTGTTGTTGCAGTCAGAGTCGGGTTGTGTTGCAGAAAGCAACGGAAACCAGGCAGGATTGATTGATTGATTTTCAGGAGTCTGCCTTTGTGACAACTACCTCATACTAGACTTATATATACACATGGAAGTAGTTTTCCTTTCTCCATGATATACATTATCTACATTTCCAGATTTCAGTTATAACCCAAACGGTCCTTAATCCTCCAATTTCAATATGATTTTACCATAGAGCAATAGAGCAAGGACACATTGCATATGCACTTGTAATAAGATTCATTCAAAAAGAATTCTGCTCCGTAACCTTCCTTTTGCCGTGTTTGCTGTAACAGTTTCTGCCAGTCAAAAATTCCTTCTACTTCTCTCTCTACTTTACAAAGACAATGGGACATATCATATATGCCATTTGACTGATTTTGACAGATAGGACAACTAGGTGCAGATTGCATCTTTGCATAGGAGGGTTAAATGAAAGTTTGGTGTCATTTTTATAGCTGCTTCGGTAACAGCATTCCGGGCAATATCATGGCAGAAGTGGAGGAAAGTGGCATCAGAACTGTGACTACAGCAACGGAGAACCAGTTAAACTTGCTGCGAAAGTACCACCAGAAGGCCCATGGGGCAATTGCCAGTGCTCTGACACAAGATGAAGCTGGCAATGTGGACCAGGCTGTCCAGCTCTACAGCGAAGGACTCAGGTATCTCGCTAAGGGTCTCGAGATCTCCTTTGGAGGTGGAACCAATCCCAGGGACAGGGAGCTGGAGTCTGCCCACAGGATGCAGAGCCAGATGCGGAGAACCACCCAGCAGATGAAATCCCGACTAGAAGAGTTGGAGCGTGAGGTAGAGCAGAGGGTGCCCTCAACAGAGCATCACAGTGCCTTCAGCCCAGGGACGATGCAGGAACTAGAAGAAAATCTGCGACTGGAGGAGGAGCTGCTGGAGCTGGAGCAGCCGCCATCTTACGATCAGACGCAGGCGGATGCAGCAGAAGTCTTTGTTGTACCAGACGGCGTCCAGATATTCTTCATCAGCCCGGAGGGGCATGTAAGTGCACCGAGTCAACCGGAGGCACTGCGCATCTACAAATTCAAGGACAGCAGACTCGTCGGTGGGGCCAATCAGCCGCCAGCTTTCTTGCAGGTTGGAGACTGGCTGTACCCCTTAATTCCTGGGGAATCCCCAGCTCTGAGGAGTAGGCAGGGTGCATTCCTTTTCCCGGATGTGGCGTCCAGGGTACCTGGGGCCAGTGTTGGTGTGATGTTTGATCCAAACATTGACAGGTTAGAATTGATCTACTTACCGTAATTATTTCCAAATTCCACAATTTAAAGACAAGTTTTCACACATCCTAGGGGTTAAATGTAGCCCTTTGGCTACAAATGTGTACAAGCAGAAGCTTATGATCATGGTGTGCATAGATCAAATAAAGAAGTCTTTCAAATGTAAAAGCAATTTTATTATGCCAGATAATGGTTAGTTGTCAACATTATAAAGAAGTAATTAAAGTTGATTTTATAGCAATTTCAGTATTCAGTAGACCTACTGAAACAATGTGTGAGTTTCTAACATGAAACATTTACTAAAAGAAGTTCATACATTTTATTTCACTGCTACATGTAAGAATAAATATTCTAATAGCCTAGTAATTCTTGGATTCCACTCACAGATGACCACACCATGTGAGTATATATCATGATATAGTTTGTGTACTGAAAAAGCTGGCCTCTTAATTGAAAACAGATCAAAGACACAAGAATTTGAGCAAACAATCCAGCAACTGACGGTGTTGAGAGAGCAGCGGGTAGCCCCAGCCCGACCCCCACCCCCTCGGCATCGACCAGCTGAGGGGCAGGAACAGACAAAGGAGGAGGAAGGGGAGAAAGTGAGCACCAAGATAGCCAAGGGCATCGCTGTAGGTAAGGGCTTGGTGCCAACTGCAGGATTCCCACAATCTAGGAAAGCCAGTGGGGAAAAGTAAAGTAATAGAAAAGTCATGGAAATGGGAAAAATAGGATTTCATGGCATCCTATTTTAAGAGGGAAAAAAGGTATGGAAATCAAGATCATGCAAGTTTTTTGGGGGGGGGATGAGCTGTGGGCTGGTTTTGATATGATAATGAAATGATGATAAAGTGACGGGCTCAACCCTTGTCAGTCTATAGTGGTGACCATGGCAATCTTCCATTTTGTAATACCAACATTCCTCTGCAAGATGGCATTTCCTTGGGACCCTGCAACTGGATTCATTCCTCTGTCCTCTGTGTTCAAACTACTCGGTGATCATTATCAATAATCATTTAAATGGGAACTTATCAGTCAACTTAATGGATGTAGAAGCGTGGGTAGTTCAGCTGGCATTTAAGAGTGAAGATGAATAAACATGAGCCATATTTGTTGGCAGCCTAAATCGAGGCAGGCAACAGGCAATGAAAAGAGTGGGGTTTTAAGTACATGTAGTTATTTTTAATGACACAGCAGCATCAGTCAATGAATTTGCCTTCAGCAAAAGTCACAGTAATCCACAAAAGATTCTACAAAAGCAGCCCAATCTACACACTATCAACACTGAGCTATCAAAGTTAATTCTGATCAGTGAAAACATTTAGGAAAAGTACTGCATTGTGTGTAATTACCATTGACAAAATATATGCCTGGATATTCACGTTGAAGATCCTGTTTTGGAAATCAAACACAGGTGCCGAGTGGATCACCTGGGGGTTAGGCAAGGGAGCCGAGGCCACAAGCTACCTGATAGGTGTCGGCAAGGACAAACTGAAACAGAACCTCAAGACGAACGAAGCGCCTGCCTCGATTGACGGGAAGTATCAAAAGGGGGCTGAGTATGCTCAGAAAGCCTCGGTGATTGCTGTAAAGGTACAGACTGATGAATAGACTGTTGACTTCTTGGATTCGGTATCCATGGTCTGGTGCAAAGTCAGGATTGACATGGTGTAGCATCTCCAACTGCAATATTCTCCAACTGTTGAAGGGTTATATCCTAAAACTGGACTGAGCCATGCACTGTGTGATATATAACAGCCTCACACTAATGTCCAATGAGAGAGGTTGCATGATCAAATAGTGCAGCATCCATTACGTAAGTTGTCTAACATCTGGTTCGAGAGATTTCAAAAATATTCAGGCACTTCCAGAAGCTAATGCAAGTTGAAAGGCAAGCTAATCACCCTTTGCTGTCACTTCTGATTTGCATCAGGGGTGTGAAAAGATCAACAACAGTGCATATGCTTTGTAGATTTTGTATCTGTAGCAAAGCAGAAGGAACTCTGTAACTTCTTGATGCATCTGTGCTCTTCTAGGTGAGTGGGGCCATGGTGGACAGTCTCTGCTACTTGACCAAGAGGTTAGCCCAGGAGGTGAGCCCCTACATCAAAGAGCAGAGTGACAAACTCTTGAAGAGCAAAGACCAACAGGATGGAAAGAAGAGCAGTACAGTGGATGGTGTGATGGAGGTCGCAGCCAGTGGTCTTCAAGGTGTGTGGAATAACTGAGTATCAATCTTGATCATAAACACCAATAATGGTCTTTATCCTGAGTGGTGAGAAGGAATTATGACAATGTGTCCAGCTTAGGAACACAAGCTTTATTTTGTGACTTGTTAATATACATATCTATATTTGGATGATAGCTACTCTAATTTCTTTGACTGTGGTGATAGGTACAACCCACTCTTTGTTAAGTGTTTCACGAGTTGTTGATACTGTTTTAAGAAAAGATAGAGGAATTGTTGAAGTTTCCAAGAAAGCATTCCACAATCTCAAATGAAAGTCAATGTGTTGGCAAATCAGTAAATAAAGGAGATATTTTGACATTTGCAGGTTTTGGTATTGTTTACAATGGGCTGGAGACAGCTGCTAAGTCACTTGCCAAGAGCATGTCCAATGCCACTGTGGAAGTTGTTCAGCACAAGTGAGTAGATCTCTGAAGAGAACAAACACATGTACTGTGAAATAAGTACTTCAATAAATTTGTTGTTTTAAGCACGTCACGGTGGAATGATGAGCAAGCATTCTATTTTATTTCGACCAAGAATATCAGAAGTCTAAGCCTATTTGTTTCGAGTACTGCAACATGTACAGTGTGCATATAAGCTGACTTATTTCATCTTTTTTCATGATCATTTATTACCACAGTTTTGCATACATACATCTCAATTTTCAAACAATATATTTGACACGGTGGGAAAGCCATGGAGCTACCCACTTAAAAGCAAATCTTATGATTGTGGGCCCTAAAATCAGTTCATGGTTACTATTAATTAATTACTATACACAAAAGACAAACATTAGACAGATGAGACACTTACTCTATATGCCAGCTAACAATTACCCAAGTTTGAAATAAAAACTAACAGGAAAAATGAAAAAGAATAACAACCCTGGGAGATTCTTTGAGAAAAGCAGAATGAAAATGTAATTGTGCAGCATTCACTACAATTATTATTATTAGCTATTTCTAGCAGCAAGACCAAGGATTCCTCCAAAGTATCCTTGGCGCTGTAGCTTTCAAGACTAAAGAAACCTGTACAGTGTAGGTTATAAAGAATTATTCAGTTTAGAGGTGGGAGGAAATCCCTGGGTAAATGTTCTGGGGAAACCCACAGTCAGGTAGGGACTGAAAATGCAAATCCTCGTGCTGACCTGGGTGGGATTCAGACCTTGGTCACTGGGGTGGAAGATGAGGAAACTCCCTGACCCTTTTCGAAGGCAGCTCCAGAATGTTTGTATGGGAAAATAAAAAATTGCCGCATTGGCAAAAATGTTCACAGAAAATCCACTCCTTTGTTTCAGGTATGGGGATGATGCTGCCCGTTTCACTGACACCTCATTAGATGCTGCCACAAATATCGGTTTCACCGTGAATAATATGAATAACATTGGCGTCAAAGCAGTTGCCAAACGAGCTGCAAAGGACACTGGGAAGGCTGTACTGGAAGATTACCGGAAAGAGTCACAAGACAAGGGTAAAGATAAACCTTACCGACCAGGGAGTAAGAAAAAATAAGAAAAAGTGATTTCGGGGATCAATGGTTGAAGGTCGTGATGTTAGCTACAGTGTCCTTGGATGGCTGGCAAAAGGTAGTGTTGACACTGCCTGTGGAGACTTAACTGTAATATAGTTGGCATGAATTCGAAATTATTCAAACAGGTACAAAATTTTTGCTGGTGTCGTTTGTGTAACATGAGGTATATCATTTTATTATCATCAAAGAATTCTTCAGTGCACTTTCTTCCTGAAATACTTCCAAGTCATATCAGATACTTCACTGTTGAGAAACGTTGAAATAAGCATTGCATGTAAGGAATATGTTAATTTATGCTGTCGGCCGACAATAAAAGGTATTAGATAAAACAATGTAGGCCATTACAATGGTAAAGAATTATTTTGCGAAGTTTTATAAGCATTACTTCATAAAGAGGCTAATAAAGGTAACTAGTATGTTAGATTGTTATGGTATTTTGTTATTCAACATCCCTCAAACATTACTTTGCTAAATTCATTGGCATAACAACACAATTTGTCTCTCAATTGTATAAAATAATAGTTCTATCATCGCTAAAATACACATTCTTACTTATCACTTCAGTGTATGAGTCTTTATTGACTCATTGGTACTAGTGGTCTTTTCATTGACAAGAATTCTTTATTGGCAAGTCAGCAAACATTTAGCAAAATAGTTTTGGGATAACACAGGCTGGACAATGTCTGCACATTCGCAATTTATGGCTTTTCATAAATGTTTATTTGTCCAGCACGTTGCCATTTGTTATGGTTTACTTCATAACTCAAACAATTTATTTTAGGTGTAAACAAAAACGATGATTAGATCATTTTCTGCAGAGGCATGTGAAAAATGGAATGCCACTCTGGAAATAGAAATAGTTTCCAAATAAACAGGGATTTTTTTTTTAAAGACTTTTTGGGGAAGTTCTCAAGCAAAGAATGAAACAAAACTACTTAAAGGAAATTCATTTCTAGTTCTTGTGATGACTGCTGAAATGAAGCCGGCAGTGTGCACAATATTGTCAGTGATGAGAAGGATGGAAGTTATGATGCTGAGTCAGTTCATTTGCCTTTGACCTTGACCATCAAGACGGTGTTTTCCTTCTTCATCTCCTTGTAGTCGGCAGTAATCTTTTCCAGATTGGCTATCGTTTTCTTGTTACTTTCAGTTTCAATCTGAGACACAATGGAAAATATTACATTATACAAGATATATTTTGTGTAATGCACAATACTAGTGTACAAAATATGCATGACAGAATACTTAACTCTGAAAGAGTGATGAATTTTGCTGTATCTCTGCACTGTGTATGTTTTGCTTTGATTGTATTTGTTATAATTGAGTCAGTCACAACTCACCTTAAGTCATTCACAAGTTAGTCACTCCTAACTAAACTTACAAGCTATTTAAAAGATCGATAGCGACGAGGCAATGGCATTCCTTGTTCATCTCTCTAATTTTGGTGTGATTTGTAAACTAACTTGAAAACTGACCTGTGGACTGACTGCCTTCTAAATCTGGAAACTTGGACTTGCAGACAAACTTGACAAATGTCATTTCAAGAGATTAACCCTAACCATGCTGAAACCAATGATGTATCCAACAACAGGCTCTTTCTTAGAGATCTTGTTACTGTGAGCAGTAAAGGCCTTTTGTTCTAGCTGTGGGATTCTGTCAGGTTCAGCAGGCTTCAAAATTTCCTTGCTGTTGGGTGGGGGTTAGGGTTGAGAAAATTCAATCCTCACTGTTGGAAATGCAGGTTTCACCCAAGTATAGCACTCACGGCGTGTATACATTACTGATGTAATATTTTTTTGTTTGATATATATGCCATGAGTTTTACCTGGTCTTCAAGATCTCGGATCTCCCTGACAATGCTGCCTGTCTCTTCCACAGTCTTAATGAGTTGGTCAAAATTCTGCAATTTGACAGAAAGTGGTTAAAGCAAAGAGGTAGGCAAATGAATAGGGTACGCCAAAGAAGGCCGAAAGTTGTTAGCATGCAAGTAGATGTGAGGTGTGATTGAAATATTTTCTAAAAATGATGAAAAATCAAACACATTTTGAAATAGAAAACCCAAGAGGCTTCTTACTTCATGAAGGGCTGCCAGGTATTTGTACGCCTTGCGGACTGATTCATCTTTTTTGGCATCCTACACAGAACACAAGAATTAAATGCAAAGAAACAACAGGCACTGAAGTTGCACTCCATCTTTTCAGATTAAATGTTAAAAATGTGAAATCCCTGCATCATCAAGACAAACAACACAAAAAGTTCAATAATTATATCCTGCCATTGCAGTGAGAACATTCAAGCTGCAAGATAAAACTGTGTAACATGAAAAACCATGCCTCTTTGGAACAAATATTTACACATGACGATGCATAATTACACTGCGTTGCACAAAACAAGCCATCAATACAATTCTTCGCACATGTCACACTTAAGATAAGAAATACTGCAATCAGTTACAAAGAAAATCCTGGAGATGTGAAGTAAACATAAAGAATGTAACACTGGAACAATAATGAAGAGAGGTTTGCACAAACCTGGTTCTGCAGAGAGTAAAAGGAAGATTTCTATAACTAAATATTTCACCTTGAAGATAAGTTCATCTGTGACAGTAAAAGTTCGGTCCAGCTTCCCTGACATGTGGTTGATTTCCTTCTGAAGTGTCTTGGTGTCGACGAGAACCTACACAAAAGTCAAATCCAAACCAACAATCATACTGTGACATGCGTCTCATCCCATTTTGGCCATTACTATGGCCATGTTACCCATTTTAGCCTTTGTGTCACTTCCAGTGTTGTAGTCGAGACCACCACAAGACCAGGCACAAAACGGGGAACAATGACAAAGGAATGCTTTTGTTGCAGTTCATTTGAATAGCTTGTGACTTGAATCTAGACTGGAGGTCTTGTGTTGGTCTTGTTCCGGTCTTGTGAAGGTCTTAAGTGGTCTCGACTACAACACTGGTCACTTCCATTGAAAAAAATAAAAACTAAAAGAGAGATTCAACCTCTATAGCAAATGAACTCTCACCTAATTTGTGAATATCCCCCATCTGAAACTAGTACATGTTACTTTCATATTACATCCGGGAATACATCTTAGGTTATGGCAGCATTTATTGAAATTTCAACAACAGCTTTGGAAAGTTCTAACCTGTCATATAAATTCATTTCAGCAGAGGTAGTGTTTGGGAAACATCAAAATGTGCTCTATCATTGGGTCTTTATGAGTGTCATACATTCAAGGATATCATGGAAGCAGGAATGACACGTACACAGATATGCTTATTTACAACAAAGACCATAACCTTTTGGATTTCTTGTTTCTGCTTCTTGATGTTTGCCACTATTTCCAATATCCTCCGTGTGTAGGCTGACCGATTGACATCCTTGGTCATGCGCTCATACTCGGAGACCTACAACAAAACCAAAATTGAGGAAAATCAATCGTCAAATTACAGGATTACAGATCTTTCACTGCATTACTTCTAACACTGAGTGATGGACAATGTCCACTGCTGGAAGACTGTAATTATTGAAAGATCATAACACCACAGTTTTTTTTTTTTTTGGGGGGGGGTTTCTAGCCATCTTTTCAATGATAAATCAGTCATATTACTATATACGCATACTTCTGGTTTAATGTTACATAATGCAATGAAGCCAATTTCAGATGAATAATGGCGAGTGCCTCACAGTGCACTGAGACCCTGTATAATGTTAACCAGAAACCTGCTGGATGTAATAAGACACACAACAGTTGATCCAATGGGTCAACTATCCCCGACGCCATGCCGTCTCAGTCACAGCCTGCCAGTCACCACAGGATCCAACAGAAACACTGAGAACTGGCAGTTTATTCTGTTGATGTCGACTACCAAAGCAACAAGGTCCTGAACATCTCTACACCTGTTGCACCTTGCTGGGTTCAGCAACCTAAGGGCTGATGTCTGACAACTTTGATGGGTAGAAATAAAGTAAGCAATCCTACCAGTTGTTTGTGCAGTTCCTCCTTGCCCCTGGTTTCATCCACAACCTCTTTCATCCTGTCCCTCAACGCCTGAATATCCTCCAGCTTCTTCAGCGACTCACTCTACAAAACACAAACGTCCTTGTAAACAGAGCATCTACAGACTTGTAAACGGTGCTAGAGATTCTCTGCATGTGTGTAACTCTGGGCAGCTGACCCAGCCAAGCTTTGTGGATGTGGTGGTCAACATCTCAGTGATTATTCAAATAGGAGATTTTATATTCCTCCCGCAGTAGAGTGAGCCTATGAATTTCCTCCTCACAACTGCTCAGTGCATCTACTATTCACCTTTTGAAATACGAAGCACAGTTCAAAGTTTGAAGATGTGACACAGACAGGAAAAAAAATTGGTCCTCAAATTCATGTAGGGGACCAGTTTGAAATACAAATTGCTCAACAGCACACAACTGAAGAAAACAATATTTAACTTAAGAAAAGCTTGTTTCTAAGATATTCAATGTGGCATGGCTTACCTCTTTGTTAGCATTCTGTTCCTTCAGTTTCCGGTATTCCTCGATGAGGGGAGCCCTGTGCTTCTCCCACTGCTTAGCTAGACTCACCAGACGTTGAGCACTCGACTCCACTACTCCCTGATGAGGAAAAACAAATACAGAGAATTATAAAACCTGTTTTATGCCACACATACTTTGGTCTTTTGAACAAAATACACTCACTGATGATTAATTTAAGCCGAGGTTCGCCTCAGCAACTTGTACTATCCCTGGTGAACTCTTTTACCAGGTTAATGACTTTGATCACAGCACCCGCAAACCCATTTCTCAAGCACGCAAGTCATTTTTTCTTAGATCCAATCGACAGAAACTGCACAGAAATGGGATTTAAAAATATCCCAACCTCAAGTCATTCACCAATTGACAACAGACAGGTTTCTGCCAAAATGGTACACAGCGGACTTGTTCTGTACATTATACAACGCAAATCACAGACCTCTGGTTGGGCTTCATGTTTTTTTATATTCACAGTTTTTATACCTGCAGTTTTGCTATATTATTTTCAGCGTCAGGAAGAAGATCCATGGTTCTTTTCTTGACTTTGTACGTGTCCTCTTTCTCGGCATTTTGCCGTTCCTCAAGGTTCTTCTGTTCCTCCATCTGTTGAGAGCAGGGTTCAATCAGAAATAGTTGTGGTTATGACCTTTAACACCCGGGTCACTGCATGTTAATATTCATAGATAGATTTGGGAACTGTGTTTGCACACTTGCAAACAAGGCCAAAATAAATATTGCGACTACAGAGTCATTTGGATGTATGACAACTACCATTGATAGATGAATGGCTTCAGAAAGTGTCAGAGCATACCTGTTCTTGTGCCAGGTAAAGTCTGCATGTGCATTTACTGAGGTGCCCCAAACCAACTTACCCTTCATTTAACAAGGGCTAAAATTGTGAAATTGTTTGGAAAGGTCAACTGAATTTCCTCAGCAATATAGTGTGAGTACCAGAAGGAATCCCTCGACTCACCTGCTGTATTCCGGCTGTGAATTTCTTCATGTCCAGCTCCAGCACGTCCATCTGATTGGTGAGTTGGGTCAGCTGATCCCGCAGGCCCTGCTGTTCCTCTTCTCTCTTCTGGCGCAGTTCCTCCTCCGTGTCTGCCTTGGGCACGCCCTCCCCAATGCCCATCTGAGAGATGGCCTTGTCGTCATCCTGAAGACACCCATAAGACGAATCATTCATTTCACATCACCAAACTTCATTTAACCAATCTTCATCTCGTCAGATAATTTGGACATTGGATAATACAGAGAGGCGAAGCCCTCACCTGAGCAAACTGTAGCTTAGAGGTGTGGGTGAACCGGGAGCCCTTGCCTTGCTGCTTGCTGGGAGTCCTGTCACTGAAGTTGCTGAGGAACTGCAGTAGATCCGCTGCCCCCACTGTGGTGGCTCCTCCTGCTTCAGCCTTCTGGACGTCCTGCTGCAGCTGACTGGCAATCTTCTTCTGTAGCCGCTCCTTCTTGCGGGCCTTGTACTCCTGTGAAGTTGGATCGACAGAATCGTCAGCCCGGAATGTCTTCCCTCATAAGGCATGGTGAATCGGTCACACACACACAATGGGTCTGAGGGGAAACATGCCTGAGTGCTGAAAAAAGTGAGATTTTAACACACGCAGCATTGGTTAACACAGGAGGACTTAAGCAAAGTGTTGCCTTCTATTGTACATAGTCTATCCCATTTAGCCCCATTCTCCTTGAACTAGCAAAGCACATTGTTATAAAGTAAATTCAATACAAATGAAAGTCAAATGCACACTGCAATCAAAGTTCACCACATCCCTGAGGCAATACATTCCATATTTGACTTTTACAACCATGTCTGTAAGGCCAAAACATGCTACAATTTTTGGCTAAATACAGGAAGTCCACAACACAGGGTAGGTTCGAGCGACAACCGTTTGCCGACCACTGATCAATTTTCCATGATAGCCTGTGCGCATATACAACATGGGTACCGGGCAAAATCGACTGGTGGTTGACAAACTTGTCCCATGGTTACCTGAGGTGTCAGTCTGGACTGCAGCCCCGCGCTGTTCCATTCTGCCTCCCACTCTTGCGCTGCTGTCACCTCAGCAGCATTGGTTTCAAGCAACGATGCTGCCGTGTCCTCGTGGCGCGACGGCTGCTGTGACACAAGCGGCAGGTCTTTAGAGTAGTAGCTTTTGACCTCTGCAATCAGGGACGACACACAAGTTATGGTTTACAACATGACTAGAATTAAAGTTAGGCCGTGTCAATATTACTTGGCCGTGTCTTGCAATTACACACAAGTCTACGGTAATGGCTGTAGCCACTTTCCACAGACACCTGTGCCACATCCAAATAATTTGGACACGACCTTAGAGCTACCTATATGAATCTGGAAGTCCCAAGGTAATGGCAAATGCACACTGACAGCTCCTGCACAAAATACATGGCGTTAATTTCATAGACCGGTCGAGTGCAGAAATTTGGCAAGCCAAGAATTAATTTGTTTAGTAAATATGGTCTGTCAACCAAACTGCCTTGCATTGGGTACATCTTGAGACTGGTTCCCAACTTCTTTTTGGTCAGTGCCTACATTTCTCAAACAATGTTTTCTGTTGATCACAGTGCGTGAAATTTGTCGCCTTAATGGAAACAGTCCACAGATTTCGCGCACTGGGATTGGTCAGTGCGTTGCAAACTCTTGGAGGCACACTATTGTGAATCGTATGTATTGTTTTTGCAGTCTACACATGTATGTGTGTGTGCGTATCAGAGAACAATAAATTCCATACAGGAAAGAGAGAACTGAGGTACACTTTTGCTCACCTTTAGGAATTTTTCTTGACAGGTCATCCAGCCCACTGGGGACAGTGACCACAATACTGTGAAACAAATGTGTGCCACTAGCACCCTGGAATAATAAAGTAGGAGAGTGACCTTACACTTGTCTAGATACAATTCATAGGTACAAAACATTGCCACACCTATGACAGGTGTTATGGCAGTGAGGACATGAAATCAACGTTGATTTCAGACTTGAGTTGATTTAGTGCCTGGGATATGACGGGATTTGACATAATGAACCCAGGAAACCCACAGTTTCAGATCTGAAAGTTAAAGTGTAGCTGCAATGAATTTTTCTTGGACACAGTTTTTCTGCAACTTTGTACTCTTCTCCAAAGTATGAAAAGTTTTCAGCATCTCTCTGATTCATCAGTCTTCCAAAAAATATCACGGATATTCTGGGGGAATTCAAAAAAAGGCTGAAAATTGGGCACTAAAAAGGTGAAAAACATTAAAAATGACAAAAATGGGTCCCAATGAAAAACGAAGTGAATTTCAAAGAAATAGTTTTCTTCCTGGAAGTATTAAATTTTTGGATCATAAGAGTTAGTGGTCTTTCATGAGGCATCAAGGTTACATAAAGGTAAACCCGGCAAAACTGAGAAAATTAGATACAAATTTAGGTACAAAAATGTTAATTTTTTCATAAATATCCTTTGTCGTAAAATTGGCACTTCAATTCCCACTTCATTGATTCTTTTCCGAAGGTCTTTCTTGCACAAAAGCTATTAAATAGATTTGATAGCTTCTTGGCAATTTATTCACACACGAGGTCTTAGGAAAACGGCAATACAATTCCCTCACGTAGGTCACTACCAATATGTCTGCTAGAATAACTTTTTAGGCGACGACCACATGTGACTGTTGCACATGTGCAAACACAAACTAAATACACATGCAGTTTATGGGGACCAAACATACGCGATGTAAAAGCTAGCCCACTGTTTGAACATGAAAATATGGTTTTGTTTCCCTGTGCATTTATTCACTGTTTTCTCCTTTTGTGGGAAAATACACTTTGAAAGAGATATCTGCAAATTGAAATCAAAGGTACATACAGTATATGCCACAGATAACCAAGAGCTCACACAAAGTTTGTTCTTGCTTCCTTGTGTATTTGTCTATGTCTTTTCTGTTTCCTTCCCCAGAAAATCCGCTTAGAAAAATAAAATATGAATCAGGAATCATGCTATATTAAAAAAATGAATTTGAATGGAAGCATAATAAAACCTGTTTGATGGCTGATTAACTAGAATTCTTGAGCGACTACTCCCCAAGGCTGACGACAGATTTAAATGAATGAATAAATGAATGAATGGACTGTTTGAATTAGACTTATTTTGTGACTGACCGCTTGGAAAAAAATGAATGACACTTTTTGACATGTAATGTATATCTAAAGGCGCATTCCATTTAAAACAACTTAGCCTCACACTGTACTGAACAATTTTTAAAAAGTGAACTTGACCGGGAAAGCCGATATTAAGTAAAAATACAACTATTAAAGAAATTGCTTGGTCAGTTCCTGCTGGGCCAAAATTGTTCAGTGCTCAGCTAATTGTTGAAAGTGATCAAACTAATTGAATTTGGCTACAAATAACACTGTTATCTATGAATGCCACTGGCTGGCAGCTGTTATTTATTGCCATAGACTAATGTCTTACTCCAAGCCACAGCTGGTGGGTTCGAACACACATAGAACAATCCTGAGGGCACACTCACCTCCCTGTTCCACTGTTTTGGCGTCCGCCATCGTATCCCCCGCTTCTTACAGCATGGGGGAAGCCAGGGTGTCTGTAGCTTGATCAGCTATACTGGCCGCAATAGAACGATTCAGCAATGCTGATTTACCTGAAATTCATGGATTGCAAGAAAACTTAAAAACGTTTTGCTATTCAGTCTAGTGTGTAAATATTGGGTTAAAAATGTTTCATTGTATATTCGGACATTATACTAATTGCTACAAAAAATCTAATATTGCCACTTTTTCTGGTCATAGAGACTTTTGTGGTGCTTGTTTCATTAACCACTTGCCTCCGGAATTCCCCGTACCGGATACCTTGGGTTTGTACACATAGCCAGGGTGCCCATAATCGGACAAAGGAGCTGGGCCTTGTAACAAGAGACTGTACTCGGAACAAAAGACCGAGCTGCTGGGAATTGCCATCATTTTTCAGCTGGCATTAGCTGAGGTAATCCGTCATTGTTTTGAAACAGTATACCACTGTTTGCGGCATTCAGTGCCCACGCATTACAGAGGTGAGATTGACCAATGATAAAGACAGCTGAAAACAGCTGAAAAAAGGCATAAAAAAGTTTTCTTCTGAAAAGGGCAAATGCACTAGAAGAACGATGGGTAAAAACAGAGTAGATATCAAAGGCTACTGAAGCTTTGAACTACGTGTACATGTACATCTACAGCCTCTATGTCATGCTAGGTTTGCAACAAATGATACTTGAAGACCAACACCTTCACAAATTCCCATTTACTCCTACATGTATACAGCAATTGTAGTAAAGTGCCTTGCATATGGACACAACTGCAATGGAAGCACATCTTTACCTAGCGGCTCATCTGAGGTGACTGCAGTGTCCTTGGGTAACTTCTCGACCAAGAACATCAGGACTCGCCTGATGTCAGCCTCGTTGGAGTAGAGAAAGGTCTGGTATCCCATCTCACCTTTGTATCCGAGAGACTAAACAAGCAAACATTGGGAAATCGGTGTAGAATATATCATGACAGACATTTGATAGATTTGTAATGACTCTTAACAAGTATTTGGCTAGATTGAGATGTGTAATGGAAAACAAATACCAGCTATGATATGTGGAAAATACTGCAAACTGAACCTGTTTTGTGAGTACAGATAGTCTTCAAATAGTGTAATCTTATCTAAGAAGAAACAGCTGAAAATCTGCTCAGTAATCTGACATGGAGATTGAACCGCGATCACACGCCTTTCTGGCTGACAGCCTACCTGATGCACAGCCATGCACAGTCATGCATTCAAAGGTGAAATTGGGCAATTATATGGTATCAGTTCAATGCCTGTTGTTTAGAAAAAAATGTGTGATTTGATAATGGCAAAGTATAAGTGTATGTTGGACATAATCGATGAATCTGAACGATTGCTCAACCCTTGCACGATGGTTATCTTCTTTCACAATTTGCCGATAATTCTACGATCAGCCAATCACTTTTCTATTGATTTGCAGTTGTGGAACATTGTTTCAAAATAGGGAAGTTAAATCACAGATTTCATATTGGATTTAACGACACAATCATGCAATAGTGCTGATCTATCATGCCCTACATATACATGTACAAAAGCAACCCACCACAAGAGCATTAGCCAGGTCTGTTCCCATGCGGAAGCGGGCAGACATGCCCGGAGGCAAAGCCAAGGGGAGGCTGGTGGAATCATCGATGATCTTCAGGCATCTGACTGTGGCTTCAATAATCAACTCGGTGGAGAACTGCCTCAAGCTGACAACATCCTCATCAATGTCACTGCACAGATCAGACAAACAATGGCTGCTCAGTGCTTGGAAACTCTGCGTACAAAACACTGAACGAATTCTACACATGGACATCACTCGACATCACTGTGTGATGCATGCACAGTGCACAATGTGGTTGGATCATTGTTGTCAAGATAATGAGAGGATGGTGCGTAAAACCTCAGATTTTTTCAGGAAACGGTCAGTCGGAAACGGTCTTTGCTCCCCCCAGGAGTTCTGCTTCTAATTTCCCGACTGACCATTAAAAGAATTAACCTTTTCAGCGCGACCCTCAAATTTTTACTGGCAAGTTAGAAAAACAAATTTAAACAAAAGTTTCTAAATTTTTTACTACCATCCTCATGGAGAAAAGCATTTCATCTGTTAAAAAATGGGTACTACAGGTGTAACATTTGAGAAATGTGTCCAACTCTATGGCTTTTTATTTCTTTAACCCTACATGTAACTCCCCAGAGTGATTTACTAAGAACCATACCCATTCACACAAATTCCAACACCATATGGTAAACTGTGCACAAAAACTGTTGGACAATTTAGGGGTACATTTCCCAGTGTCACAAGTTCACACACTTTACTGGTGTTCAATTCTGTGTGATTCGGGAAGGTTAGGTTTAAGTTATCTTAAGCAGGCATTTAAGGAGAGCTATTTAAGGAATAATGTATGTCACGGTGTCTGTCCACAGAGTGACAAACATGAAAACAGGCTGATTTTGCCATTTCTTGAGCAGACAACCTCAACAAAAATATATCTCTTCCGAGAAAAGTTTTTACAATAAGAACTAACATCATATCTGTGTTTTTTCTATCAGACGACAAAACTACCATTTTATTTTAAGAAGTGCACATTTTTGTCCACTTTTTTGTAACATCTGTCACAACTATTTTTTCCTCTCAATGTGGAAGACTTATCTTATGAGTACATATACATTTACTACAAAACCAAATTAAACAAAATAACGAACAATTCAGTAGACAGTCAGTTCATTTTGCAGAAATGAAAGTGAGAAGACTGTCTGTCCCCAGATTATATGTGACCAGAGGTGTGAGTGGCCACTTAAAATTAAAGCTGAAAACAGCTAGCAAACAGCTAAAACATAAACGTTCCCATACTTTTGTTCAGACTAGGTGTACAAAAAAGGCTGAATTCTCACACCCCTGCATAACAAACATTGCATCTATCCATGTAACAAGCATTACTCATTGAGAAAAACTTACATAGTAAAAAGTAATGACAAAATTTTACAGTTTGAAATTTGTATTGAATGTCATGCAAATGTGTCTTGTAGTGTGGATAGACCCATTTATAACTTTGCCTACCAACATTCTCAACTTTTGAAAAAAAAATTCTGTTATTTTCACGAGTTCTCTCCACGTTTCGTTACAGCGGTGGTAAAAACCCCTGCAGTGTAAATGCTACATGCATTTAATTAATGCTGCACTGGTGTCCGCCGCGCCGTGCCATTGCCATGGAAGGCATGGTGGAATTGCGGCAACCAGTCTATTCATCCCGGCCCGCCGAATGTTATTTAACAGCATCCTTTCACTGCAGTGTACACGCACGGAACTCCACAGCTGCACGTCGAAAAACAGCGAAGGTGCCAGAAATTTCTGCAAGTTGCTTCACAGAACTTCATCTCTTGTCGACGTATGTATTTTCTTTGTTCGTGAATTTAATTTGAGGTTGTATTGCTCGTACTTAAAGCGAGCGTGTTTCGCAAAATTACCTGCTGCGGCACGAGGTTTTATCGCCGCGCGCGTGACTCGCTAGAAGACGTGATACAGGCCCAGGCCTGCAGACATTTGTTTGCCATTTTCCCGTTGTGATCACCCGAATAGCATTATTCTAAAGAATTGTCCACTGTAGGTGTTTCACAAGAATAATTTATTAAGATAAGTTTTAATCACTTTTGTAGCATTTTTGGGGTAGCTTTCTTCCCCATTCAATCAGCACAAAAAAACTGACCAACAATAGGCCTACAACATATGCTAACGACATGACCGACCTTATTTTGGAAAGGCAGATTGTTTTGGGCCATGTAAACCATTGGTCATAATGGGTAAGTAAAGTCCGAAGCATTTACTTAGAAAACACTCAGGCAGCATTGATCTTTTCTTTCCTCCATTTTTGACCTAACTGGAAGCAGAATTTATGGAATGTATTGCTGCATTTAAAAACCCATAACGTTACGAACCCATAAAAAGTCGAGGGACTAGTAGTACCAGTTTAGTAGTTAGTCATGATACTATAGATAGCCCATGCAGGAAACGGACGATTCACACGAATACATGTAGTGACTTGCGGTTCTCAGTAGTTCAGAAATGTAGGCCTCGTGCGCAAACATATATGTTTGTAATTAAATTAACGTTGTTTCCCCTGATATCTTACCATCCAACTTGGCGAAATGTGTGGATAATTATATTATCAACTTCCTCCATGTTGCTGGAATCAGGCGCGGCAAGACCGAGAACAACCTTTGCAATTCGGCTGCTGTGCTTTACGCTCACAGACTGTACATGTACGGTGTACATGTACCTGTACTGTACAGTACATGTTTGCAGCCGTGCTGAACGCAGCCTAACGCGCGAAGAGAGACTGGTTTTCAGACATGGGGCGGTGCCTGACTGGTCGGCCGGACAGGCAGTGTTAGACTCGATGACAGTCCGTCTTGCTCGCTTAGTATGTGGTTTTAGAAACAAATCGATGAAAATAACGAAGTTTAAAACCTTAAAACTTAAATATTAGCAACTGGAGATACACTTTTCATGATGAGTGGATGGGAACAACTTTTTCTTCCACAGCCTAGAGTTAAACTTTTCAAATTGACTCCCGTTGGAAAAAGTACATTCATATAATGTGCATGTACAAGAATACAATTACCTTTTAAAATAATTTGCCCACTTTTATTTTTAGGGTTGTTTTTTGCTTGTTGTTATCCACCCATATATTTAGTAAGTATTTAAATCATATATATCAATGCACTCAACCTGCCCGAGGGGAAAGCTATTTATCCGTGGAAATAATGTCCAAAGTTCTTAAAATCAATTTAGTTCTGGATACGAATGTAATTGTGTAATTAAATATTTATTATACATTACTGATTTATATTTTATAAAGTCATTTTTTTGCACAAATCATGTATTTCTTCGATGGAAATACCTCTTTATTGGGGTATTTAAATTTTGGTTGTTAAGTGGCATGAATTGTTAGTTAAGATTGTTAAGTGGCATATGAGGAAAGATTATGCAGAGCAGACTGGAAGATCATTGAATGACTTTGACTTTGCCCCTGTCATTATTTTTGTATGTTCAGCAAGATAGTTACTCTGCCCCTTGCCAGACCTTTACAAACGGGTGTTTATTTCGGGGATCATGCATTTGTTGGAATTGAGTGTCGGTAATGCTGGGGAGTGGGGCGGGCCTTTTATCGAATGCCTGTTCCGAATGTACACCCGCCGTTATGTACGAGGATACGGCTTTCATATTTAAAAGGCAATGAAGGGAAAATGGCAAAAAAACTATCATGTACACATTATCAATAATATGCCCCGAAGAACACAACTGGACGGCGCCTAAAATGCCTTGAGCGATCTTAATTTGAACGCGCGCGTAGCCCATAGTCGAGGTTGGTACGGGCAATTATTCTGATGTAGGAACTCGGCGCACCCATAAAGTTAACAAATCGGACTTACTGCGCATACCTCCTTGTGCTAGTTCGGGTCGCTCGGAAGTGTTCGGTTAGTGCCCGGAATCCGAGCACGCTGGAAAAATGAGACCGTTACTCTTGTCATGGCCAGAAAGCGGTAATTGGCCTGTATGTTGTAGACGAGGCAGTTCAAACTCCTGTATGGTGTACTATTTACGACAAACATTTTTCTCTCTCTCTTGACTCCCTCCGGGCGACGCAACCAGACGACGCGACGGCACGACGGCTCCCTTGCGTCGTGCCGTCGGGTCGCACCGTCGCCTTCTTGCCATTACTTTTGTACACACGCGACGTGTCGCGTCACGTCGTGCGACGTGTCGTGCTGTCGCCCGTCGCGTCGTGCTGCCTTAGGTCCTTTCCATGTTGCACTTTTTGCCGCCTATACGTCGCCCCTTCCGTCGCCCGTCGCGTCGTACCGTCGTGCGTTACGTCGTACGTCGTGTCGTGCATCGCGACCCCCGTATACCTCACCTGAAGCACGACGCGACGCACGACGCGACGCGTCGCCCTTTGTTTCTTGGTATTTATAGAGGGCGCCTTTACTTTTTCTTTCATTTCCGGCCTCGTACTTGCATAGTAGGTACAGTCCACTAATTCAAGCCCCATTGAAAACAGTATTAGATCGGCTTTGTTCTAGGCCAAATACCAACATCCCTGGGATGCTGAAACACAAATAAAATTATTGTCTAGTCCCTAATCTTTCGATTTCTTTTCAATTTATTGTGGGTTAACCAATTACCTTTTTAATTATTCCCACAAAACAAAATCACCCTCGAAAAGTGATTTTTCCGAAGTCTGATTGCAGCCATCTTTCAACTAGCAACCCTCAACCTTCTCGGGCACTTAGGACCATTTTTCAGTTGTAGTTGCCATTCTGCTCTCATAGGACAGCTCAATGACCCAGGCAGTTGATCCTGGCAACGATTTACACAATCTCACATTTCGGGGGCCAAACAATCTCCTCTTTTTCATGAAGAGTGAGTTGTTGAAGCAAAGGTTTGTTTTTTTAATCAAATGTGATTAGAAAGAGCGTCACGACCAACTATCAGCCTTGTCTCCAGGAAATAAATAACATGAGCCACAACGTTGTTTTAACTTTTCCTGCTCTAATTTTGATCCTCCTAATAATTATGTAATAGAATTGATTTTGCTCCCCCACTTTCTGAAATCCTAACTCCCCCAGAATTAGGTCATACAATTTGTGTGGGTTGCTTGGCAGCGCTTGTGGGAAGTTGGTAGCAGAACTTGCAACCAGTCACAAGAGTCCTTGAGAAGGAGCTGATAACTTCCCTAGCCAGTGACCAGGCTCGGTAGTAACTCCCTAAACCCGTAGTGAAACTTGCAGCCGTACAATTGCTAGACAAATTGCCTGGAGAATTGGGAGTACTACTTAGAGATCAGAGCAGTTCCTACGTATGCCGATTTTCTCTTTTGCTCTTTTTTTCATTTTCTTAGTAAAATATGACAGAAATTAATCCTAATCGAGGAATGGATGAGATAAAAACAAGAACAAATCAACACCACAGAGTAAATAGCATGTACTTTGCAAGCACGGGAGACAAGAAAGAGACATTGAGGAAAACAGTAAAGGCGCCCTCTACTAACACCATGAAGCAAAGGGCAACAGCACGCGTCGCGTCGTGCGTCGCGTCATGCTTCTGGGGACGTAATAGGCGATGCAATGCACGACACGACGCACGACGGTACGACGCGACGGCCGACGGAAGGGGCGACGTTTAGGCGGCAAAAAATGCAACATGGAAAGGACCTGAGACAGCACGACGCGACGGGTCGACAGCACGACGCGACGCACGACGCGACACGTCATGTGTGTACAAACGTAATGGCAAGAAGGCGACGGTGCGACCCAACGGCACGACGCAAGGGAGCCGTCGTGCCGTCGCGTCGTGTAGTTGCGTCGCCTGGAGGGAGGCTAAAGAGAGAGAGAAATGTTTGTCGTAAATAGTACACCATACTCCTGTGTCCTTCCTCTATGCTTGTTCGTAGGTCTGCACGTGACGCTGGCTGCACGTGAGCCGGGAATGGGACTGGATTAGTGTATATAAGTTCGCGCTCGGTCGCTGCCGTGTTCCCAACTTCTGACCCCTAAACAAAATCCATATGAAATCCATAAGTAATACACTTTCTGTGAACCCTCAGGAAAAATATACGTTAACCACAGGTGCCCGCCAGAAGTTTCATCCTAATTTGTACACTAGGAGCAGCCTCAGCCGCAATGTACACCGCTCCTGTTAAACAGCACGCGACGTTTGCTTCTTTCTTTGTTTCTATCTTTCTGTTTTTGCCTGAGGCCTGTTTGTCCCCGTCCTTGATATACATGTACATGTACAGTAGTTCTCAGTCTCTTGTCATTTGGACTACAAAATAATGCACCTGCAGCGCTGCTCGATTCAGAAGAATAGACCCAGTTTGAATATGCATGCATGTGCAGAAATGATGGGCAAGGCGACACAGCGTGAACAGCACTGAAAATGTTCAAGGGGGTAGGCCAACGGTCATTTCTCGCAAAGTTTCCGTGACATTTCAGCTTTTCTCCAGAAAAACCTCTGAAATCGTCACAGCTATTACCACGATGCAAGGGGTGATGGCTTTGTATGACAACAGAATACAAAAGTAACGAACAGGGAGCGACAGCACGCCAGGATGCAATCGTCGCGTGTCGCTGCGTTAAGTCGATCGCTTCGCGTGTTGAGGAGGCGTCGCCGTAAGGCGTATACATGTACTGTGTATAATACATGCACACATAAAAAAATGTACAATTAAATCATTTTTGTATGGCGTTCAACAGATCATGAGTAGGCCTGCAGCGCCCTTGAATCCAGGGTTTGTTGCGAAAGCAGAGAAACTACTGGCCCACCTTAAGGAGTGTGTCAAAGAATTCGAAGGAGACCCTACCGCCTTGTTGGCTGTTACTGACAAGTACTGCTACGAGAACTGTAGCATGATGCACGTGGGAGACAAGAAAGGTGCGTGGTCACATCAGTACACTTTAGATGTAAACTGGGGAAGTCTGAACATCAAGATTGTAGGGAAAAGTATAAAGTTAGTTCGTCTGTGACAGTTTAACAGAAAGATAGTGTAATTCGACAACCTGGGGCCAATTTCATAGAGCTGCTTAAGCACAGAATTTGCTTAAGCACGAAAAAATCTTATTTAAAAAACAAAGGTTACCAGCTCAAACTCAGTGATACAAAAGACGGGTAAATACCATTCCAAAATAATACACATCACAAGAAGTTTTTGCTGGCAACCTGATTTGTCAAACAAGGTTTTTTCACGCTTAAACAAATTTTTCGCTTAAGCAGCGCTTAACGTACTGCGATGGTACAACGCTCGTGGGCAGCACAGTACGCGCGAGTATATGCCTCTTCGACCAATAGGGTGTCATGATTTGCCAAGGCACGCGTGCGTCAAGCTGAAGAATGTGCAAGTACGAGTGCGGTGCCACTTCAGTCCGGGCGTTAGCTAATCGGATCAGTCTATGGGGATTCTCCCGGTAACTCCCAGTAACTCCCGGATGTCCACGCAGCCCCATAGTCCTGTCTAAACCACTGATATCCAGACATTCACCCATTGCAACCACAATCTGTTTTCGTTGACACTTGCTTCTCATCTTCTTTGTCCGTCATATCCTCTTTGACATCAAACATCATTATGCCAAAACCATTGATCTGCATGTTACATACAGCAATCACAATACGTATTATTCCCATGCATAGAGCTAGAGCGCAAATTTCTCATTCTCCGAGCGGAGAAAATTTGACACCGTCCTAGGCAAACATTTTCAATCGATGTGCATGTTTGTGGAACATTCGAAATCAGAATGAAAATCAAATTATGTACTCTTAATATAACGCGCATCGGGTAGCGATAAAACCCGAATAAAAAGTCGAGGCAAAATTATCTGCAGCTCATACTCGCACGCGTTTGCGTTGTTTACGCAGAGCAAAATGAAACGTAGACAAATTTTTTGGAAGAAGTATTCACCTGATGGAGTGTCCCAAGTACTGCGTTTGTTCCACCTACAGTATACCTCACAGCAAGCCATAATCCCTTGATGAAGGTGCCTTGCACCGAAAGCTTGGGACACACCATCCGGCGAGCACCTCCTCAATTTTTCTCTACGCTTCTTTGACGCTCTTCAGTACTACGCAGAGCAAAATAAACGCTCATTTATATCACTTGCCGGAGGACGGCAGTTTCTTGGAGCTGTTTTCAAAACGCTAAACATAAATTACATGGGAATATGCAACATCTCTTAACTATACCCTGCAGAGCGGCAGTTGATTGAATAATTGTTGATTTCTTTATTTTTAATAAATGCTGTAAAAGGTGTAATTGTATGGAAAATTGTCAACGAGTTGGCTCCTAAGACTTGCTTAGAGCTGGGCACATACTGTGGCTACTCGGCGGTCTTGATGGCGAGTGCCTTACCTGCTGAAAGCCGCTACATCACCGTTGAAGCCGAGGAGGGGAGCGAGAATGTTGCCCGGCAGTTCATTAAACTAGCTGGAGCCGACGTGAGTGAGAAGGTAATGCTGGATATAGTGGGTGTGCGTTGATGTCAGATTTTTGCCTTTTTTATTTCTAGCTCCTAATATGAGAGACTTCCGCGTTCGCTGCTTAGATTAGACAACTCACCCCGCGTTTTAGACCTAATATCCACCAAAGTTCCCGTTTCAATTTAACCGGATTTTTGGGGTGCATGGGTTTGACAGTAGGGTGGATTAGAAGGGCTTTACATAGGGGAGTGATCCTAAGATCCATTCTCATCTCCCTGGATCTACGCCGGATTGTCTGTTGGTCTCTGAACAAAATATTGCGATACCGGTACCTTCCGTTCATTTGTGTGTGGTGAGGTGTACAGGAACTGGAGCTATCCTAGCACTTAAAGACTGGCATTGAGTCAACCACCACGCTCCATCTGGCGCCTGACCTGATCGTTGCTGCTTCGTTTGCGCATTTATTTTGTATAAAGCTCTTGCTTTTCTGTTTTACACAGATCACACTTATTGGTGGGATGTCAAACGATGTGATACCAAAGCTGCGAGAGGATTTCTCCGTGGACACCTTGGATTTTGTCTTCATCGATCACTGGAAAAAGCTGTATCTGAGGGACCTGAAACTCCTGGAGTCCCACGGCCTACTGAGGAAGGGAACCGTCATCCTGGCAGACAATGTCGTATACCCTGGGGTTCCAGATTACCTGGAGTACGTGCAGAGCTCGGAGAAATACCAGACGGAGCTGATCCACTCGACAGTTGAGTATTCCGACATCGAAGATGCCTTGGCGAAGTCGGTTTATCTTGGATAAAAAGAAACACGGAGACATATATAGGTTTATGCGTAAATATCATTTACGAGGAGTAGCACAGTTTGATGGCCTGTGTGTGTCATGTTTGGGAAAGTGAAAAATAATTACATGGAGAAAGCGGTGATAAGGATTTCACACGTCGCCAGCACACCCTGTCGCTGTTCGTGCTAATTACTGACCGATGTCTGATGGGAAAAAGAGTAATTTAAAAAGCTGCAATACGAATACGTCCTTCGACCGTATAACGGCAGGAATGGACCGGGCATTATTCACTCCAAACCAGGAGAGTTTAGTATATAAATTATTCGACTTTTATGTCAATGTTTGTTCTCTGGCTGTGGGAACTGAATGTGATGTTTTTAAACAGATACATGCTGCTATATAATCGGCAAAGAGCATCTTTTATCAGCATTTAACATGATAATTAATATACATTACTTGAAAGCAGGCACTTTTTATTTTTTATTTGTTTCATTTATGTAACCAACAGCAGTTAACTGCAATTTACGGGGATTTAGAAAAAATAAAATTAAAATATCAAATATACATGACTATGGGCATTAATGAACTTGAAATATCTAAAACATTTTCAATATTAATGTACACATTGTAAAGACACACCAAAACATGAGTCTTGTAAAAAAAAAACTCTAGGATAAAAGCAACAGGAATCAACTCCAACCAATCTGTTACAAAGGATAAAACTGTAAATGCCAGTACGGAAGCAGTTTAGTGAGCAGTTAATTTCCTTCCCTAAAGGGACATAAGAAAAACGCTCTGAATAATTAAATGAAAAGTGAGAAATCGCCTCGAAATAAAATAGATAATAATTGAAAGGAAAATTCATCGTATCGTCTATTTTTCGCTTTTATGATAAGAAGGGACTTAAACCCTGCGGTGCATGGTCCCTGCACTAACCGCAATATACCAAAGGTGAATCCGCCAGTGACCGGTGCAGCCATCGCATTTCACTCATATGTTTACCTAATGGTATTACAGAAGTGCACTTTGGACATGGCTTTAAAAAATCCCTCTCATGGCCAGGACGGATCGTTAATTGTTTTTCCAAGGAAGGTTAGGGGTAATTATCATATACGGGAGTGGTTAACTGCAAGTTCGATCAATTTAGTTTACACTCACAAACTTCAGTGCCAAGGTAAATGTCGGGCTTTACTTTCCTATTATACAAACATTCTCTAAGAAAAGGAAAATACTACTTAAAGACTCGAACTCTTGACTTGTTAATTCTTAGTGTAATGCTCTTTCAACAGAGCTACCATGCAAGCCAGCCATAGGAATGGTTTTGTTGTTTCATAATACTTAAAAGTTCGTGGACCCCATCTATGATAATTGCCCCAACCTTCCTAGACGAAAAACGCATGCGCAACGGTTAAGATACACGTAGGCCCATTTTATTGTAATTACCCATAACCCTGCTAGGAAACAAATTACGCGGGTGGATTAGTATTTCGTCTACAGGTGTGTTTCACAATTTCGAGAGTAGGCCTAATCTACCCAGGCGAAATAGGAATTCGCCTGAGAGGCTTAGTAATGCGCCCGGTAATGTTCTAACTACGCTTCCGTAGTAGATACGGGTTAAAGTTGAAAATGGTATCAGGTACCTCTTGACACGGCAGGCATTCATGTACAGCGATGGAATATGTCGACGCCTCAGTTGGTGCTTAAACTCTTATGAAGTGTACGTCTAACTTATTAATCTGTATTGGTAAAGCGAAGAGTTACTGTAATTCAGTTTCGAGTCACAGGTATGTATATTGCTCTTTGAATAATTATTAAATTAATTGCGGTAGCATTATCGCACATTTACATGTATTTCAGTTTATTCATTTTTGGGGGTGCAGTACCTGAGGTTTTGGAAAGAAAAGAACCCTTGGACTCCATGTTTCAGACTTGTTTTGTCCGTCGTCCGTTGGAGCATAAAGAAGCACAAATTAACTGCCCTTCTTGGCTTAGTTTAAGAGCAAAAAAAAGATAAATTGCTTCGCCGTTTTCAAAATGATCGTCTTTCAACCCATGTTTGTCATCGAATTCTCTTGTAAGGATTAACAATAGCAACAAACGTGGGCATGTCGGAAGAGCCTGTTTTAAAGAGGAATTATGTGAACAAAGGCAGTGCTCTGCTTGACTACCTCATGGAGCACACCGCAGAAGTCGACGGAGACGCTGCTGCTCTGCTGGACACTACCGATAGGTACTGCTACCAGGAGGGTAATCAAATGATGCACATCGGAGATAAGAAAGGTACGATGCATTGCAGTGTTGTTCGACCACATCCCTCAACGTTGAAAGTTTTCATCAGGACGCGAGAAAACCATTTTTTGTGCTGTGCAGAGTTCAGCAAAAAGTCTGCTGAGTTAATTAGAGAGGACTTTTTTCCTGTATGTTACATAATATCGTCACCCCACGGTGGCAAACTTGAAGAGTTTCGTTTCGCTCTGTTTAATTATCATAGGGGCCATCGTACGCAAGCTAGTCCAAGAGTTGGCCCCGAACACGTGCCTAGAGCTGGGCACATTCTGCGGCTACTCAGCAGTGTTACTAGCAAGTGTCTTACGCCCTGGAAGCCGGTACATCACCGTTGAGGCTGATAAAGAGCACGAAAAAATTGCCCGGCAGTTCGTGAAACTAGCTGGCGCCGACGTGAGTGCAAAGGTATGCAGAATGGGGTTTTGGTGTGTAGATCATGGTCAATAAATTGTAGATTTTTTTGTCACCGATAGCGGAATTGATCTATAACTGTTTCCGTGTTGGCCATGCACCTTAGACAACCCTAGGGTATTTTGAGGTTAGGCTCAGATTTTGCATTTCCAGTGTCCTTTGTATCATGCAAGTGGACAATATTTCCACTAACTGCGTTGGCGCAATAATTTCGACCATGGCAGCTCATGTTGGCTGTTTTCTGCAAAAAATGGACGCTCATACTTTATTTCATTAGTACTCTATCCTTCCGCTAAAAAGTGAGTCGATTTCCCAACAATGACAAAATATAAAGAGGTTGAAAGTGCATGTATGGGCTTGAATTCAGGCTGTACTTTTCATGTTGTTAGTTTGCTGTTTATTTCTTTAAATCACACACAAATTGTCATGCAAATTGTTGTGATGCCTTTCATACACATCATAACAAACACGTGACATAGGCCTAATTCAAATCTAAACCGACGTGAAGCCAGTACACACGGAGATGATTGGACATTGGTTATCTTGTGGCTAGCTTTTGCAACAAATTCGTCCAGACCCCCCCCCCCATTTTTTTTGCTGGGTTTTCTTTTCTTTTCTTTTTTTTTCGTGCTACAGAATTTTTAAAATATTTTTTCAAAGATCACAATTGTTGGCAGGAGTTCAGAGAACGTCATACCAAAGCTGCGAGAGGATTTCTCCGTGGACACCTTGGATTTTGTCTTCATTGACCACTGGAAAAATTTGTACACGAGGGACCTGAAACTCCTGGAGTCCCACGGCCTACTGAGGAAGGGAACCGTCATCGTGGCAGACAATATCATTTTCCCTGGGGCTCCAGATTACCTGGAGTACGTGCAGAGCTCGGAGAAATACCAGACGGAGCTGATCCACTCTACATTTGAGTATTCTGACAGGGAAGATGCCGTGGCAAAGTCAGTTTATATGGGATAGAAAAGAAATCACGGAGATGGGGGTTTATGTGTGAATTTCAATAGCCAGACTCCTGAGGTTAATCAAGGTATTTTAATTTGTATCACCTCTCTCACTGATTTTGTATATCATTACGTTACATTAATCACAATTATTTATTCATCGTGGTAATTTGTATGTATTTATGATGTGTGCCAGTAATAATAAAGCCACCAAAGGTAACAAAACATTGAAAGCATTGCCTGAGGCAGGAATTAACAAAACCAGAACAAACAACCGAATACAAAAGGGAACACATGTATATGTCGGAGACCGCAAAGTAGTGAAGCTATAATGAGTTATTGATTGAATTCATCGAACTTTATAACTTGGGATTATGAAAGCACATGTAGGCTAAATATTTCTGTACGAGGAATTCTTCCACAGCGTATTAATATGTAAACAAAGTTATGACTATCCAATGTAATACACCAGTTCTTCCGTCTCTCTAGCTATCTGAACCGCTCGATTCAATCAGCTAGCGGCCGCAATACCTGACATCATTCCCTTGGGGACATCTGTCACTTGTTCTATGGCAGGGAGTGGGAGCTGCGAGCGACTTACTTGAACTCTTTATTTTACTGTATTGGTCCTCAATATTGACAACGTCCTGACTGTATAGTTCTGGAGGCTGGAATAAAACATATGTAAGTTCACCCGAGTCCACTTAAGTCTGTCTCCCAAGAAGAGTAGAGCTCTTCTGCCCCTGGTGGCGAGCGACCGTAGCCATCACACCCGGGTCGCCACTCGCAGCAAGGCTCCCGACATATACAAGAAATGAAAGGTGTTATTAATGAATGTAAAATATATATCGAGCAACAGCTGAGCAATTTAATTCAAATGCAATTTCATTTATTTTTTATTTATTTTTTATTCCAGGTAGAACAACGTAATTTTCCACATGCAGAACAGTGTATTAAGTGTATTTGAACAAACAAACATTGATTCATAATTTCATACAATCCATAAGGAATTTGAAATCAATTAATCAATGAAAAGTACCAACAAAGAATCCCACTTATAATAAAATGAGCCCATTTTTTCGTTACACATAAAATCATATTTCTCAGTTGACAAATAACTCTTTAAATCCTTTCTCAAGACAACGAAGGAGGGCATTCCGCCAGTCATTCTCATTTTATAAATGCGGCATCGGCAAATTAACAAAATTAAGTTTAATACATTCTCTGCAAAGTCATTTCTACTAAATAGAATTGCTTTTAGATTTCACTTCTTCAATGTACAATGCAGTTCATATATAAAATATATTGGAAAATTACTTGCGCTTCCAACCCGTTACCCGAAACGTTTGAACCTGTAGCTTTGTATGAGCGATATAGTATGGTGACCCTGGAGAGACATCGCCAATCGTCAATATAGACGTCAATATTTGCGACCAAATTTACGACCCACTCTTCGGTCGCGAATATTGACACCAAATTCACGACTCGCTGTCAGGTCGCGAATATTTGCGACCAGAACTCACGACTTGCTCTTCAGTTGCGAATATTGACGCCAACATTTGCGTATCACTGGTCGCAACAGTGCTGCGATTTTTTTTCCTGCAGCCTTGGCGGAAATGAAGCGTTCACGCGCTCGCGCAATGACCTACATTTTTCGGCTTGATCTCAAATCGTTTTTCGGCTAGGCAGTTTTTGCACAACGCGGGGGGGGGGACGTTGAAACCATGATGTGTCTAATTCAAGCCCCATTGAAAACAGTGTAAAATCAGCACTGTTCAGGACCCAAT